TAGTTATAAGATATCGTCTATTCAATGCATGCCCTCCTCTTTACTGTGCATAATTTTTTTCATATATATTAATTAATGAAGACGTGATTGATCATCGCAGTTATACACACAACTTAAGCAGTTGTGAAATTAAAGCCTGAAACAAGAAATAAAAGAACCCATGACCTCTGCGATGCCTGTGCAGTGCTCCTGACCTATCAAGCCAGCTGGGTGCTGGTCACTCCGCTGTGAGTTCGTAATATGCCCGTAGATGATGAAGAATGTACATGTCTTTCTCCGCAGTTCAAATATAAGATCTTTCATATATTCATTTGCATATTCATTAATATTCAACACCCATTGTTCTAAGGGGAAGCGCCGTGTTGATGACGTGGGTGAAATTGGATTTCTTTCTGATTCGAACATCTCAAGCAACAATTAAAATTGTAAGTTGAAGCTATGCTTTAATGATTATAAATAATAAGTTTAAAATTATATTGTAGGAATATGGATGTGAAATAATTGTTATTTCAATTGCAGAAAATCATGCCTCAGATAATCCTTATTGACTTTCAGTTTCGTGCACGCTGATCTTCGTCTGTGGGTTTCTTTTTTTGTGTTCATTTTGTTTGTGACTATCAGTTTTGCACGACTGTCACCCTCTGATTGGCAGCTACATGCTTTTATATTAATGATTGACCTGCAGTTTTGTGCTTCTTCCTCTGTAACCTCCAGGTTTCTGCGTTTATTGGACGCTTTCCGTCTAAATGTATCTCTGAGAAAAAAAAAAAAACAGTTTTGCGTGTTCCTGTACATGTGTGACTTTCAGTTTTATGAGCTTATCTTCGGCACATCAGTCTAATTACGTTTGTTTATATTTGTCTGTAAATTTGAAGGAATGTATGTTTTCCATCTTTGTCTGTGACCTTGAATTTCTGAGGGGTTAACCTTTGTCTGTAGGTTTAGTGATTTGGGTTGGAAATCTTGGGGTGCTGGTTCAAAATAATCCTCCATCCTACCGCTTTCTGGTTTTGTTCTCGGTAGTTCCGAGTTCAACTTCTCAACCACGTTGTGTCACTAGCCAACCGGTCGGCCTCCCACAAGTTGGTATTCTAAAACGTTTACGTTCTATTTGTAATGTTTGTTTATTCATTTACTGTGTCCTCAATTAGCACAACAGTGCTAAATACATTTGGCACTTAAATAAAGTTATTTATTTATTTATTTATTTTATTTATTTATTTCTCTATGTTTCGGTCATGTATGTCTGTCATCCCTGTTGTACGTTTATATCAGCATAGAGTTAGAGGCAAAAACATGGACTTATTAAATTGGAATAAAAGTCTTGAATCAGACCTGGTGTTAGTTTAATTTTTCTCTTATCCTATAGGATAGCAAAGTAAAGAAAGACTGTCGCTTTTGTGCTCTTTAAACCAAGAGAAAGGGGAGTGGTGAGTTTACTAAGTTATTTATATTTTAATATTGTTATAAGTTGTTTTTCAAACAAAGATCACCTTAATGATATAATAGTAAGGAAATAGTTATTAGAGACGCTAATCATATTTCCACGCCAACAATTTTGAACGGCAATATTATGGCAGTCCTATTTTACTTTGCTCTAAAACTTTGTCTTGCTGGAGGCAAAGGAAATCTGAAAATAGATTCTTTACTGTTTAATAATACACATGCCTGTATGATAGACGTATTGTTGAGATGTCATTCGATTTTTAACTTTTTTCACTTATTTAAATTGCCAAATAATTGTAATGTGCGTTAGAAGTTCCTGTCGAAATAATAAACTCGTGTTCTAATAAGAGCAATGCAAAATCAATAATAATTTGGATTTCCGGATAAATTTCTCTTTTCAGAAATTACTATTAAACGTTAAACGGAGTTTAAACCGAAACTTGATCTAAAATATGT